TCTGATTTTTTTTGTAGTCAAAGTCGTGGGAAAAAGATTTTCAAAGTGGTTACCTTAAAAGTAGGAGTTCAGTTGAGAATTTGTTTGTTAAGGAACAAAATGAATCTGGTCTATATGTGAAGTTAAATTAATGAACGAGTGTGTTATTTTAACTTACCTTCTTAAAGAAGTCAGTTTTAAACTCCTATTTTTTAGCAAAAGGACTTGGTCCCCAAGGAACTTGTGGCTGGTATTTGCAAAACGTGCTGATTGCTTTCCTAACAAAAAGGAAGTTATTGAGCAAGTCGTGGAGCAACTAATTGACCCATTATTGTTGCTTATAATCAGAATTAGTTTTGTATTCGTGGGCCTAAATATTCGGACCACTTCTGATCATAAGGAACATGGACAATTAGTAGGTTTTCTAATCTTCTATAAATGGAACGTTTTTAATTCTTTCAAAACTGTCTGACTTTAGAGAGTCACTCCATATAGTGTCTAACTTAAGTGGAATAGTTTTTCATGAGAAATATATTATGTCTTCCACGTTAGTGAGTCAGTTCTTTTAGGTTCCAGGTTCCTTACATGTCTCAAAGTGTCCAGCATATTAGTTTCGTACATCTATCTTTCATATGTATTTGAGAAAGGTTTAAGGATTTGAGTGAACTATTGTATTAGGGAATTTGTAAGGATTTGAGTGAACTCTTGTATTGGGGAGTTGGGAAGTTTGAGTGAACTTCTATTTGTGAGAAAGAGAAGAGAAAGAGAAGTGAGAAGAGAAAGAGAAAGAGAAAGAGAAGTTAGAAGTGAGAAGTGAAAGAGAAAGAGAAGTGAGAAGAGAGAAAGAGAAGAAAAGAGTAACAAGTTGGGTGACTTGTTCCTCGGGGCTTTGAGTTCGTTGAGGAACTTGAAGTCAGAGTCTTTAGTTTGTAATGGGTCATTGCCCTATTCTAGTGAAGATACTTTTTCTAAAATCCCTTGTGGTCGTGGTTTTCCTCCTTGATTAGGGCCAAGGAGTTTTCCACGTAAAAATCTCTCTTGCACTTTTAGTTCCTTTAGCTATCTTTCAGTTCCTTTAGCTTACTTAGTTTTATTTCCGCAAAACGTTTGGCTAAACTGTCATACTACAATTCAACCCCCCTTCTTGTAGTATTCATTGAAACAACACTGTGGGTACAATCAAATCTTCATGCACAAAGATGACCAGGAGAAAACCGTTTTCATTACTAGTCAAGGAATCTATTGCTACAAGGTAATGCCTTTCGGATTGAAGAACGCAGGAGCGACATATCAAAGGTTGGTGAACAAGATGTTTGAAGAGCAAATCGGAAACACAATAGAGGTCTATATAGACGACATGGTAGTTAAATCCAAGAAGGCAGATGATCACGTTAGAGACCTTAGAGAAGCCTTTGCCATCCTGAAGCAGTACGACATGAAGTTAAACCCCACAAAGTGCACATTCGGAGTACAGTCGGGAAAGTTCCTAGGGTATATGGTTACACAAAGAGGAATATAAGCCAGCCCAAACCAAGTCAAAGCCATCCTGGACCTGGAACGACCAAAATCAAAGAAACATGTACAGATCCTAATAGGAAAAATTGCAGCACTAAACAGGTTCATTTCGAAATCTTCAGACAAGAACAAAGCCTTTTATGAAGTACTGAAGAAAAACAAGGAATTCAAGTGGGAGCAAGAACACGATGAAGCATTTCAAAAGCTAAAGGAATATTTGGCCAACCCGCTGATTCTCTCTAAACCTAAAGAAGGGGAGCCCCTGCAATTGTACCTCGCAGTATCTGAAGGGACGATCAGTGCAATCCTCACAAGAGAAGAAGATAAAGAGCAATTTCCAATCTACTACGTAAGAAAAACCTTACTTAGTGCGGAAACGAGGTACACATCCTTGGAGAAAATTATTTTAGCTTTAGTTACTGCCTCAATAAAGCTACGCCCATACTTTGAAAGCCATTCCATACGAGTAAGAACCAACTATCCCATCAAAGCCATCATGAGAAAGCTAGAAATGTTAGGAAGGATGGAGAAATGGGCCCTACATCTGAGTAGGTACGATATACAATACGAGCCCAGAACCGCAATCAAATCATAAGCTTTGGCAGACTTCGTAGCAGACTTCAGCCCAGCCCTTGAGGAAGAAGCACAAAAAGAAGTATTGGCATTACAAGAACCAAAGGCTACACAAAAGTGGACACTCCATACAAATGGCGTAGCAAACATACGCGGTGTAGGCCTAGGAGTAGTACTGACATCACCGCAAGGAGACAAAATAGCACAGGTAGTAAGGTGCAACTTCAAGGCCACCAATAATGAAGCCGGGTACGAAGCACTGATCACAGGGTTAACCGTCGCAAGAGATATGAAGATACAACACCTAGAGGTAATCTCAGACTCCTTACTCATGGTAAATCAAATGAATGGGGTACACAACAAAGGATGCCAGGATGATAGCTACTTAGAAGTCACAAGGAAGCTCATTAAGGAGTTTAAGGAATTCAAGATAGACCAGGTACCCAGAAACTTGAACACTGAAGAAGACGCCCTGGCAAACTTGGGATCAAATTTTAACCCAGAAGAATTTGGAGCTATCCCCCTAGTACACGTACTCTCTTTAGCCATAGAGAAAGAATTAACCATGAACGTCTACGAAGTTCAAGCAGACTCTATAGGGAAGGAAGACGGTAGCTGGACAACACCGCTGAAAGAATACCTCTTAGACAAGACAGTACCAATAGGGAAAGTAGCAGCTCAAGCACTCGCTCCGAAAGCCTCAAAATATTGCCTAATCAGCAAAGTACTCTTCAAGAAGTCTATAGCAGGTCCCTTCTTACGATGCTTAGAGAAAGAGGAAGCACAGCAGGTCCTACAGTCCCTACATAGCGGAGAATGCAGAAATCATTTAGGAGTAAGGAATTTAGCCAACAGGGATCTCAGAATGGGATACTATTGGCCCAGCATGAGAAAGGACGCTGCAGAGTTTGCCAAGAAATGCTTAGCATGCCAAAAACACGCACCTTTGACACATAAGTCGTCAGAAGAGTTACATCCAACGTTGACGCCTTGGCCATTCATGAAGTAGGGAATGGACATAGTAAAATGACCCCCGTCATCAGGGCAGAGAGTGTATTTCTTAGCAATGACAAATTACTTTTCAAAATGGATCGAAGCAGAAGCGTACAAGGAAATCAAATTAAAGATAAACATGTCATCTCGTTTATAAAAAGAAACATCCTAAGTAGATTTGGAGTGCCAGCAGAGATCATTACAGACAATGGATCCCAGTTCATCAGAAACAAGACCACGAAGTTCTGTAATGAGTGGAACATTTCCCTCATCATGTCTACACCAAGATATCCACAACCAAACGGACAGGCATAGTAAAGTAACAAGGTCCTCAAAGGCAACATGAAGAAAAGGCTAGAAGGAGCGAAAGGGAAATGGGCAGATCAATTGCCCAACATACTATGGGAAGACAGAACAACTCCAAAAGGCGCTACAGGTCACACCCCATTCTCATTAGTGTACGGATGTGAAGCAGTACTCCCAACAGAAGTGGAAGTCCCCACAGCAAGGTACGAGTTGATGACAGAAGAAAAGAACCAAGCAGAACTAATTCACAACCTTGACACTGTGGAAGAACTAAGTGATGACGCAAAAATGAGAATGGCAGCATATCAGCAAGAAGTAGCAAGATCCTTCAACAAGAACGTCAGGGCAAGAGTCTTCAAATTGGGAGATTGGGTTCTCAGAAAGGTGTACGAAAATACCAGAGAAGTAAACGCAGGGAAATTAGCACCCAACTGGGAAGGACCCTACGAAATCATAAAGGTAGTGGGAAATGGAGCTTACAGACATAGAAACGCAGAAGGAAAAGAGGTACAGAGAAGCTGGAACGCAGCACACTTAAAGCTCTATCATTTCTGGAGAGTGTAGGTACGTAGTTATCATTTCAATTTCGTTTCTTTTTACAAAAAAAAACAAAAAAAAACAGAAAACAAGCAAAAACCCAAAAAAAAAGAAGAAAAACAAAAAAAAAAGAAAAAATCTCCAACAGCCAAAATCAGCACGGAAGGTACTCCTCTTTACTTAAGCTTTGTCAATTCAATTTATTTTCACTACGAGTACTAACTTTGGCATCGGAGGGCCGTTGGGGAAACCCACGGCCACCCCTCACCCAATTCTGTTTTGCAAGGACAACAACTACACTGCTAGGTAAAAGCACAACAGGGCACTACAGAGCAATGCTTATTCGTCCCTATAAGGAGCAAATCATATATCCCTGAAGAATAAGCAAACACCAGCAAATACATGTAAGCAATATTACATCCATACTACAACTGTAATACGCCTGTAATACAACAACAATGCAGTAAGAAACACAAGCATAGCAAAAGAGGTAGTGCAAAAGCAACAAAACAAACAAATCATCCAGCTGCAACAGTGCGGCACAAAAACAAAATAAAATATCCAACTGCACTAAGGCAGTAAAAGCAAACATTCTTCAGAGTTAATACTATTTAAGGTGACACAACACCATTGAAACTAATTTTCGCCCATGTTATCAGCAGGGACCACCTCCTCAGCAACAAGCTTCAAATTCTTTGGGACATCCTTCATCAGCAAAGCTCAGCAACAATGAGCCAAGAGCAGCAGTCCCTTCAGGAAATGCCTTCTCAAAGGCAGCCTTATCAGCATCATAATCCCAGGCTTCATGATTTCCTTGCTGATATTCCTCCATCATTTCAAGACGTGCCTTCCCAAAGTAATACATTGCAGCATCAACAACCTCGTTCCTAGCCTCCTTCAAGGTGCTCTTCATCCCATCACGTTCAGCAATGCACTCCCTATGCTTAGCCCGTTCAGCCTTCAAAGCATCAGTAGCTGCCTTGTATTTGTCAGAAAGGGCATCACGCTCCTTCTTCATAGCATCATACTTCCGAGTAAACTCTTGACACTTTGCCCAACACATCTAGACAAGATTGAAGGCTCTACAAAATACACCATTAGGTAAGAAAAGTGTAATCCAGTAATATCATTGTTATTAATTTTTTTTTTGGAGTATACCATACCTGGAAAGACTGCACAGCAGCCTCTTGAGAAAGGTCAGCAAAAGTCTGCGAAGACTGACGATCCTTGAAAGATGGAAAAAGCAAGGTATCCACATGTGGAGCCAGAGAATCAAAGGAGAAATCAGCAGCATCAACATCAATAGGCATCTCCAGCTTCCTCTTGAGGTTAGTATAAGGTGGAGGTGGAGGAGGACCGTTCTTAAGAATAACAATCTTGATGGGATCACTCTCTGAAGTTTGAGGAGAAGAACGAAATTTAAGGCGACCTAAGAGAGAGGACGAGCTAAGAAGGTCATGAGACCTTAGTGACCTCGAAGTATCTACAAGGAACATGGCAGGTTCAAAAAGGAATACAATAAAGAACACGACAACAAGAGGGATATAAGAGACTGAACAGGGTACATAACTGACTCAAAAAGGGCAAACAAACCAGAAACCAATTAAACCCATAACAAAAACACAAGGTACGCAACAACAAAATACATCTACAAAGATTGACACAACAATAAACATCACAGCACAGCAGAGAGAAACAGACCTTGAGACATAGCTGGAGCAACTTTCTACTAAGAATCAGAATCGTCCGGAGACTTGATCTGGATATCTGCTTCAGGATGCGTCAACTTGATAAAAGACCTCTCGTCCGCACTCAACTCGTACAACTTGTCTATCAGAGATGGAGACTGAGAATGCTGCTTCAACTTACTCACTGCAACCATCAAGCAAATAAGCCCGAATCAACAAAGAAGGAAAGCAAAACACAGGAAAATAAGAAAATAAAATACCTTCAGCCTTAATAGTGTCAATAAAAAAATCACAATCATCAGCCAACGACTCAATCCTCACAAAGAAAAACTTGTGACACCACTTCTTGTCAAACACCTTCTCCAAGTCAGTCACTAAAGGACCAACACCATCCTTTAAACGAAGACCAACCCGACCCTTACCATTGTTCCTAATAGTATAAGGATAACATTAATCCCTCACATCAAGTTCTACACCCAATTTTGCACTCATCAAATCCAAAATTCTCAAAACCCTCCAAGTTTGAGGCAATAACTGACAAGGCGAAACCCTAACCTTAGACAGAATTTGGCGAACAAGGGAAGAAAAGGGGAAAATATGCCCAATCACAAGGGGTACTCGAAGAAGCACACCCAACCAGGGGCAGTCCAGTCATCCCTCTCCCTGGAAGATGGGATTTTCACCACCACCTCGTTAGGAAATCGCACAACAGCAGCAATGCTCTAAATCTCCTCCTTCATTACTGTAGAAGGATAAACATCCTTAGCAGGGAAGACGTTTTGCGCGACCAAAGTCGGCGTCTTCACACCCTCATCCACCCCAGCAAACACTACTCTTACAGGATCATCCATCACAAAAACGCAAGAGAAAGCAATGAAGTGAAGAAACAAAGAAAACAGAGAAAAGAGAGAAAATACCTGGTGAAATTCGAAATTTGGGCAAAGAGTAAAGTTATTAGACATGAGCCTGCACACCCAATAAATACTGAAGAGAAAAATAAACCGCGCTTCACGATTACCGAGGAAATTGCCTTAAAACTGCCACCACGTTCCTTATTTTTGTTAACAGTTGAAATAATTTCTAAAATTCGAAAATCCTTCAAACGGCTTCTTTAGGTAATTTTCACCTTCAATACTTGAAAATAAAAAATAGGGGCAATTGTTGGGCCCGTATTAATATACGACCCTGTATACTTAGGGCACCAATCCAAGATCAAAGAATTCAGCAAAATAGACCAAACGGCTTGATTGGAATAAACAAGGAAAGCAGGATCAAAAGTATCAATCAAGAAGATACTTGCCAAGAATACACCTACAGAACAAGGAACAGAATAAATCAAGAAGATCCTCTACATTTAGAATATATTCTGAATATCCATGTAACCCTAGGGATCCCTAGTTATAAATAGGAAGAGTTAGACATTATAACACTCATGTACGCTCGCACATAATTAAATATAAGCAATTTGCTCTACTTTTCACTACGGATCTGTGTCCCTACTCAACAAGGAGGCTTGTCCTTAATCAGTATTGTATCTCTAAACTTATCTCTTTGATCTTATTGAATACTTACTGTTTGCTTACTAGTTATTTATTGTTTTATTATCGTTCTTAATCGCTTTATATGTTATTGGTGGAATGATTTTTATTACTCCTCAAAACCTAGCAAATTCTTAGATGTCCTATCTGAGATTTGCCTAAACACCCCCTCTTGTAGTATATCATCCGAAGTAACAGCATGGATCACACACGCTTACAATGAGGGAGCGGAGCATCACAAAGGCCAGGATTTCCCGCAAATGAAGAAACAGGAAAATTTGAACTATGTGGTGGAATTTTTCCAGTAAGTTGATTATTCGAGACATCGAACAAAACTAGCTTCTTCAAATTCAACACTGGTGCCGAAATACTTCCACTAAGTTTATTATGATCTAGTTTCAAATTACTTAACTTGGAAAGTTCCTTAGTCAATTTGGTATGATCCCTGTAAATTTATTATATGACAATATAATTGATTCGAGGTTCTTTAGTTTGCCAAGACTAGATGGAATCTCACCCGAGAAAGAGTTATTTGTCAAATCGAGTCGTTCGAGTGAGATTAGATTTACGATGGAAGTTGGTATAGAGCCTGTGAGCTTGTTTTGGTCTGAGTATAGATTATTGAGTGATTTCATTGATTGAAATAGATTGATGGGTATAGTGCCCGAGAGCTTATTATAGCCAAGGTCGAGAGTTTTTAAAAGACAAAGTTTATCAAATGAAGATGGTATTGAGCCACTAAGAATGTTTTGAGCTAGGGAAAGGTAGGTTAATTGTGATAATTGACCTAACGGAGGTGGGATATGACCTCTTATACCGGCCGAACTATCGAGGTAAAATTGTTGAAAATGAGCTAGGTCAAGTTCTTGAATATAGGTAAGATTGCCTAGGAAAGGGAGAGTGTACTGTTTACAAAGACAGAGATATCGAGATCCATCAGATTTGAAGGGCGGAATAGAGAGATTCGAATAACTCTTCCCGTGGTGTTGTTACAAACGACTTGATTTCATGATGTACAAATATCGATCTTAGGGTTCCAAGTGCATAGTTGGCCACACTATCATACTCAATTCCACGCTTGAATTCAAGCAACGCCTCTTTATCGATGGCATTACATGATTCTACTAAAGTAGGATTGAGTATAATAGTAATGGCTAGGATGGTGAGAAAAACGAGAAAATGATTGTGTTTTTTATTGGTTTCCATGATTAATATAGAGATAATTGGAATGATTTGTGAAGGAATGATTTGTCACTACAATAAAATAACCTTTTCGTAGCGATTATTTTAAACTTTAGTATCGATATTAATTGCAACAAAAAGCTTTCCCAATGAATGGCCATTCGATACAATATCCCCCGTTCCCTTAGCCTTTAGTAGTGGTTTTCAATATCGCTGGGGTTAGCCTCAATAATCGATACAAAAAAACACATCCAATCGTGGTGATTATTGTAGCGATTACAATCGCTATAAATGTTTAACTCATTTTCTCCAAAAAAAAAAAAAAAAAAAAAAAAAAACATGTGTGTGATCTTTACAAGATAACATTCAACCTCAAACTCTTATATTAAATGTTTCACCAATAAGTTATGACATATTTTATGTATTTTTTGTCAAACAATATTTATATATCTAGTGTTGAAAAGACTTTTCGTATCGATTTTTAGGATTTAGTGGCGATTGTAAATGATACGTTTTTTCAAAATTATATGTGAATATGTATTATTATATTTTTCGTATCGATTTTATATGGGAAAATCATGGAGATTGTAAAATGATACGACTCCCTTAATTATTTCACAAACATACTTGCATATTATAGCGAATGTACAATCGCTACGAAGTAATCGCTACGAAAGACATTTTTCTTGTAGTGTTTGAGTACAATATAATTGGAAACTGATTCATAGATCCGTATATATATAGAGTTTTTTGTAACTTACATTATCTTTAATTAAAGCATTACTCCCTCCGTTTTTAAATACTTGCTCCATTTCTCCATGCGCGGAGTTTTAGGAGAAATTGGAGAAAGTAATAAAATATGGAGGTAGTGAGGTTGGTAGAAAATAAAAAATTGTAGAAAGCAAAAGTAGTGGAGAGAATTGAAAGAGAGAGAATATATGTTGGTTCCACTATGTGAGAAAAATTAATTAAATATTGTAAAAAGTTTCTAAATAAGAAAATAAAACAAGTATTTAAAAACGGCTGCAAAAGAAAAGTGAAACAAGTATTTAAAAACAGAGGGTGTATAATATGGTTGTAATTTATTAAGTACCGTACGAAACATTGAAATGAGAGGTGATGTGATATTTGACCACTTTATCGTACGTACTACTTCAATAATTTGTTCAAAAGTTGAAAAAAGTAGATAGATCTAGATGCCTCGATTGAAAGTGTTGTTCACCCTCAGCTCCTATGGGTAACAAACATATAAGATGAAAAATATACCACTACATGTATAATAAATGATAGGTGGTAAATATTTTGAGGGAAAATATTTAACGTATATGATGGTAAAAAGTACTACTACATGTACAATAATACACAAAAAATACTATTCAGACAATTTATATTTTAATAATACACTAGTGAGTAGCCCGGGCGTTGCCCCCGGATTGCTACTTTCGTGAAATTGGGGCAGTTTTTGTAAGGATTTTGAAATATGAAATCGATATTATTAAATGTTTTTTTTAATAATTAAATCATGTGATTTACACTTATGTACAATTGTTTATAATGTTTATAACACTCTTGATAATGGGCTACGATGGTTAATAAGCCACCTTTGATATAAGTGGTTGGAAGTTCAAATCCTCTTAACATCATATTTTTATATACTAAGTATGATCTAATGTAGATTGCTTAGGTGATGATGTGGCTAGATGTGAATTGGGTAGGTGATGTGGCATCATGAAGTATTTGTGAAGTGACATGGCATATAATTAAAGGATCTATGTGGCACATGGACATTTTTATAAATGCCTTTTAATATATTAGTATAGATTATACGTGCATAATGGTACATCATTATAATGTACCACTGTAGAATCAACTTTTTCCAAAAGCTTGTCAAATTTACAGTTTTGCCCTCCTATATGTTTACAAAACATATAGGGGCTATGCGCCTAGCTAGTTGCACTCGAAAGTGTCATATCACTCATATGCATCAATCAATCGTATGTCGTACAAAACATGTATCAATCAATCCATGTTTCGTAATTAAACACGAATAAAGATAAGAATTAATTTAGTCATTGTTTTTCTACTACTCTCCCCTCTCTTAATACAAAGCCTTATTTCCTCTTTGGATAAACTAAAATACAATGCCTCTTTCTATTTAAAGGTTGTATTTTTTTACATTAGTAACCATTTTTTATGAGTTGTGTCATCTTTTTTCCTTTACTTTTTTGTACTTCTAACATCAATTCCCAACACTTTCTCTATCTATCTCTTTAATTATTCCATACTACTTTTCTTTCTCTCTATCTTTCTCTA